AGAGATAATATAGAAACAATTGTTCATTTTCTGTTAGCTGGTTCTAAATACCCTACAATGCTTTCATCCACTTGAATGGTTTTACACTTACTTGATATGTTTGAAGCTATAGTATATGAAGTTATATTCAAATATTTCAAGGAAAAACACACTATGGTAACTACTATTAAGTCGGATTATTTGGTGGTGAAGCACTAGGTTGCTGAAACTGTAATGCTTTGACCTGTACTGTTATGTTGTTATGTCCTCTTTTATCTCAATCTCTCCCTTATTCATTAAAAAATTTAGTTTTGTATGATTTTTTAATTTAAGGGAAAAATTTAAAAATTAGGATATATTATAGTAACTTTTTTGATTTCCTATTAACTTGAAGTCCTGTAATACTCCCACTATCTTGTTTTGACTGATTAGATTCTGTTCTGTTCTGTATGATAGTATCAAGTTTGAGGGTATAGGTAACTACTTTGAAGGCAATAAGATTCATTATGATGCCCATTCTGATTTGACTATTATCTTCTTTGGAAATCCTGTAATGTTTACAAGGTTTAGGCTTTATTGGTCTTGTTCTCTACTGTTTTGTTCAACTTTATAATACCTAATGAGATAGACAATTCTTTTTAAGGAAGCAAGAGGCATTATGGTAACCATTGTTGATAACCTTGTACTCTGTTTTTACATCATGTTCTATGTCTATCCTTGGTTTTGACTGACAGCTTTGTTTTGCCATATTTGACTTTATTCTCTTCCAAAAAAAAAGTAGTAAAATGAAGGAGTAATAAAACCCAAAATGTGTAAATTTTGTTGTAAAAAAGAGAGGAAAAAAAGTGCTTTAAAGGATACAACTGCAAGTGTGTTTAGGGGTGTTAAATAGCTGACCATATTAATGTTTTAGTTGGATCATTGAACACAACTGTTTGCAGTCTCACTGTTTGAATGTCCACTTTTTGTGCTTTGATACTGTGACTTGAGCAACTATCTCTAAGATGATAATATGTAATCTATTAACTGGTGATTTCTTACTCTTTTTTTTGTAGTTCTGTATTACTTGTACCCTTACACCGCTTTGTTTTGTTTTGTTTTTTCTCTTTTTCCTTTTAAATAAAAATTTTTTAAAAATCAAGTTAAGACTAAAATAAGTAAAAGAAAAAATAAAATTTAGAGTACAGATCAACGACATAGACTTTTAAAAATGTAATTCTTGGAAAAAGTCACTAAAATTGATAAGCTTCTGGTGAGTTTAATTAGGAAAAAAGTGAAAACACAAATAATATCAAGAATGAGAGAAAAGACATGATTACAGATCATGCAAAGATTAAAATAATAAAAATACAAGAAAATTTTATCCCTGTAAATTGGACCACATAGATGAAATTCAAAAATTTTTTAAAAATGCAAATTACCAAAGATCGCTCAAAAGAAGTTAGCAAAATATATTACATGATGCAAGCACTTTACTACTAGGCAAAATGAAATAACTTACATGGAAAGACTTGTATTAAAAATATTTATTTATAATTATTAAAAACCAGAAACAACTCAGATGTCCACAAACAGGTGAATAAGGAAATAGTGACAAATCTCCCCAATGAAATGCTACTAAACAATAAAAATGAAGACGTCACCGATGTAGACAACAAGATGCATAAGTCTCAAAATAATTATGTTGAAGGAGGGAAGACAAATGTTTCTTGTGTGATTCCACTTTCATAAAACTTCAGAAAATGCAAACTACTTTACAGCAACAGTGAACAGTTTAGTGATGGCCTGACTTACCAATATTTTAAGACACCTTGGTTGCTATTTTGTGTGTGTGTTTATTGTTCTCATCTTTATTCCCAGTTTTCCTGCTGAGTCAGTATGTTTCTTACTTAATGATAATAAAAGAATAGCACTGACAGCTGTAATACCACGCCACTTTCCACCCAAAGAAGCTGCAAACTCTAAAAGGTTAACAATTCATATAATATGGAGAAAAGATAAACGCATATATTGCTGCTAAGACTGAATTGATACAGCTTCTATTGAGGCAATTTTGCAATTTCTATCAAGAATTTGCTTGCAGGCTGGGGATTTAGCTCAGCAGCATAAGCACCTGCCTGGCAAGCACGTGGTCATAAGTTTGATCCCTGGTAGCAAAAAAAGAGAGACAGAGAGAGAATTTTCTTGCAATGGCAAAAGGTTTACAGTAACCTAACTATTCATTATAGGGAGATATTCACTAAGTGAAATATAGTCTTTCCACAAAATAGAATCTACATAGTCATACATTTCTAATGTAAAAGGTAAAGCTCAAAATAATCAGCTTAGAGAGCTGCTATTTGGAAAAATAGGGAGCAAGCATATACACATATATATTTGTTTAAAGATACATTGTATCTCTCTATAATAGGATACATACAGCTCAGAGCTGGGTTGCCTGACAAACTGTCAGGAATCGTGGAAGCACTGTATTACTCCGTATATTTTTGTGCCTTTTGAGTTAACAGTCTCAATATACTATTTAAATAAGTAGCATCTTTCGAAAAAGAGTTGTGGAAGAATAACCAGAAAAAGAGTTGTGGAAGAATAACCTATGTGGTCTTAAAATATTGGTAAGTCAGGCCATCACTAAACTGTTCTCTACCTGTAAAATTCCATTTTCTCCTGCTTAGAATTGGAACTGCATTATCCATTTCACAGGATGATCTGAATAATAAAAGAGAGAGAGAGATTTGGCATTAATTAGCACAGTCATAGCACACAGTAAGCACTAGTGATTACTGTTAGAATTTGTAACATTTGATTCACAACTCGTTCCCTACACCACTAGGTGGCACCACACTCAAATGGGTGATGCCTTGGCTCGCTCAGCACCAGGAGGCAAGGAAGCCCTCAGACTCCCTCCCCGGGGTCTGTCCCCACAGACACCCCCACGGTCCATCCTGTGGCCCCCACATGACCATCATACTGAGGGAGGATCAAGGACAGGATGCTCATGCTGCTTCTGCACAGGATGCGGCAGACAGGGTAGGGGTTGTCTGAGGGTCCATGGAACCTGCTGTTCCCCTAAGGGGCTCCCTTCCCAGCTGAACTCTCCTCTGGAAAGGGCGAGCCTGGCTGGTGCAAAAGATCCATGACAAGAAAGAGCAGTGAAGAGGCCAGGAGCCCACACGGTGACGCCTACTGCACCTTCCGCTGCCTGACAGAATTCCTGTTTCCTCCTAGCCCTTCTAGTTTATCTCCAAATTGAAAGACCTGACTCAGGTTTTTAGCTGACTCAGGTTTTTAGGCTGCTTTCAGGTTTTAGGAGTTATGCTCTATGGATCACTGAGAAAATCAAAGACTTTACGAGATCGTCAACTGCTCTGAAACCTGCAGCTCCCACAAATTTGGGGGTGCAATAGCCACTACCCTCCTCGTACAGAGAAAGGACATTGTGTGGTGAAGAGAAAGGATAGAGCTCTCTCTTCTCTCTCTCCTTCTCTCTCTCTCTCTCTGTCTCTCTGTCTTTCTCTCTGTCTCTGTCTCTCTCTCCGTCTCTCTCTGTCTCTGTCTCTCTCTCTGTCTCTCTGCCTCTGTCTCTCTGTCTCTCTCTGTCTCTGTCTCTCTCTGTCTGTCTCTGTGTCTCTGTCTCTCTGTCTTTGTCTGTCTTTCTGTCTCTCTCCTCTCTCTCTGTCTCTGTCTCTCTCTCTCTCTCTCTCTCTCTCTCTCTCTCTCTCTCTCTCTCTCTCTCTCTCTCTCCCCCACGCCTCTTTCCTATTTGCTGGAATCCGGGGAAGGCAGGTGGCTGCGAGCTGCCGAGCTGCAGGAGGAGGCAGAGGCTGGTCTGTGTACTCTCTCGCCCCGCCTGCTCTCAGCAATGCCAGGCAGGAGCAGTTCCAAAGCCGCAGCTCTGCCAGCTCAGTGCCAGCACTGTAAAGTATCTGCTGCTTCCAGGAATACGAAAGTTTCTCTTTCCTAGAACAGGCACCCTTTAAGGTAAGTCTCTCCCAGTCGCCAGTCATGTGTACCGCAGCGTGGGCTTCTCAGTGGGTGGTGTAACAGGGAGGGCTGCGATTCATTCATCCGCAGCAGACACCAACCACTGTCCACTGTGACTGGGCTCCGTGCCAGGGAGCACACAGAAAACAGAAGAGCAGCCTTCCCAGAGCTCCAGAGGGCAGAGTGGTATGGGTAGAGTATAATAAGGGCTGTGAAAAAGGCAAGCCCCAGCAACAGAAGTCTTCGAAAGGGAAGGGTGATCCGCCCAGACTGAGGAAATAAGGAATCTTAAGGCTGTGGGAGAGGGGAAGGGGACGCAGAGAATGGGCATGAAAACGGGGGGCGCAGGGAGCTGGCAGTGGCAGGTGTGGCAGGTGAACACACCCGGAGGCAGGAGGTTGGGGCCCTCGTGTTCTCTGCCAAGGTCTGACAAAAGGAGTGAAGACACGGGAAGCAGCTTCTAGAGGTGGCATCATCCCATCGCATGCAGCTTCCAGAAAGCAAACAGTGCACGGAGGAATGGGGAGGGGGGAACCAGGAGAGCAACCTTCCAGGAGACAGGACAAACGGACGGCACCACGGGAGTAAAGACAACAGACTCAGAGCTACGTGGTGCAAGATGCGACCCCGCTTTGCCTGAGCTGACTGCACTGGAGCCAAGATGGACACGAGACACTGAACGTTAACTTATTCAGTGTGGACTTTAGGGTCAAGTCTGGGTTCACACAGCAATTCCACCACTGGGTAACCTGGGGACACTCATCATTTCTTTGATTCTCCGATCCTCAGATTCGTCATCTATAAACTGAAATTCATATAGAATAACCAACCTCGTAGGCTGAGGATGAGGACTAAAAATGAGGACTCCTAAGAACCACTAAGCATAGTTCCTGTTCGTATTTAAACTCCCTAAAGGGTCGCTATTAGTGATGCTGTTATGAACATCGTTACCAGGGCGCTGTGTTCTGTCTGGTGGTACCCCATCTTCCCCCGAAGCACCAGGCGCTGGTGGCAATGTGGAAGGACACAGAAAGGCAACCTTGTAAGTTTTTGTATCATATTGGTTAATCAGCATCTCAACAAATGGGACAAACGGTTGTCTCTGGGAAGTTTAACACAAGCAGTTTTACTTTTCTTCTTTGAACTTCTCTGTATTTTCCAAATTTGCACATGGACGCGCACATACACGGCCAAGCAAAGCCTGCTGCAGGTGTTTATCACACCACAAGCACTACTCACCTAAGTGATGAGCTTTGTAAGCCCAGAGGACACCGACCCACCCCAAAGGCCACGCCCCACCCCTCATTCCAACACAGTTCAGCACATCCAAAGCCCCTGTGCTCCAGTCGCCATCACACCTCCAGCCCCAGGAACAAGTACCCAGGGCCCAGCCCCAGAGAAACTCAGGAGCATGAGGTGCTTGGGGCTGGCGTTTGGGAGACGGCCCTGAGCAGGGCCCCTGTCCGGAGGTCTCAGCCCTCCAGCTGACTTGCAACAGGCGAGGTAGGAGGTCCTGACCCCTCCCTGTTCGGGATGAGGTCCACAAGCTGGCCCTGCTGGAGCTCCAGTTTCTGGTCAGCGATCTGAACTGCGTGGTCCCTGTGAGCGATCACCAGCACGGTTCGGTCCCCGCGGGATCTCCAGGCCTGCAGCTGAAGGGATCACAGGGCCTCAGAATGTAAGAGGGGGCTGGAGGGCACCAAAACCCAACAGGCGGTGAAGAAGGCATGAAGTGGCCAAGAGCAGGAGTGACCGTCAGCCCTGCTGCTCCCTCTGGGCTGAACTGCTCCTCACCAGGATGGGAAGCAGCTTGGGAGCAGTCAAGGCGGCCTCCTCCGCCTGTTGTCCATCCCACTCCCAGTTCTGCAAGGGCAGTCATCATTCCACTAAGGGGCCTTTGTCCTCCTCCCAGTTCCACACCCAATGATGCTGCAAACTGATCTCAGACCCCATTGTCCCTCGCTCCTCACTGCCCGCTACTCACCGCCTGCTCACAGTGGACGTCCAGGGCACTGGTGGCCTCGTCCAGGATGAGGATGCGGGGGTCCCGCACCAGGGCCCGGGCGATGGCCAGACGCTGTTTCAGTCCTACAGCCAACTGGCTTCCTTTCTCACCTACCACTGAGGAAACCGGGGGAAATGCCTGCTCAGACACAGCTTCACAACCACTGCGGCCCCATCTCCTATGCCAGCGGTCAGGAGGGCTGCGGGCACTGCAGCTGCCATGGAGGAGGAAACTCAGCCTCCATGCTGCCCTCTGGGAACAAAGACCCTGCAGCTAGGTGCAGGCTGAGGAGTGCTTGGAGCAGGGGAGCACAGGGAGTGGGGAGCAAAGGGAAGAAGAGCAAAGCTCACAAGGGGGCACAGGGACCCACAGGGAAGCCCCATGTCCTCGTCTGAGGGCAGGGCTGAGGTCCGGTCTGCAGCAGATACCTGTCTGTATTCCATCCGGCATCTCCTTTATGAAGTCATAGGCAAGAGCCTCCTGGGCAGCGGCCACCACCTTGTCATCCTCGCAGCTCTGCAACCCGTAGGCAATGTTGTCCCTCACAGAGCCGGAGAACAGCACAGGCTCCTGGGCAACCACAGACACCTGCAGAGCGGGGAAGGGGTGGAGGGCAGAGTGTGACCCGCAGGGCAGAGACCCTGTTCCTCCTCGACTGCCTTCCCACACGCGGACTGCCCTGCCTCCCCATGGACCCACATCCTCCACCTCTGCACACCCCTTCCCTCCCTCGGACCCACTGCCAGCTCCCTTGAGCCCACCTGTCTGTGCAGGTAGTGATGCTCATATTCAGAGACGGGTTTTCCGTCCAGCAGCACCTGGCCCTCCGTGGGCTGGTACAGATTCTGCAGCAGCGCAGCCACCGTGCTCTTCCCAGAGCCATTGGGTCCCACCAGGGCCGTCACCTTCCCGGGATGCAGAGTAAACGTTACCCCCTGGAGAAACGGGAAGGAATTAAGGCCATGAGACTTTGCTTACAGGATGCCTCTCTTTGCTACCCAGCTGAAGCAAGACCTTCTCTAAGGCAAGTGATCTAGGAGATGCAAGGCCTGATTGCCTATTTGCAGCAGAGCATGGGGACCCAGGTTCCACCCGCAGGCCTCTCCCAGGCACCTTGAGCACTGGCTGATCAGGGCGACTGGGATATGCAAAGGTGACATCTCTAAACTCCACGAGCCCCCGCATCGTGGCAGGGGCCAGTGTGCCAGACTGAGGCAGCCTGGGCTTTCTGTCCAGGTAGCAGAACACCTTCTCGGCAGCTCCAACGTTGCTTATCATGTCCCCATACATGTACATCAGGCTCTGGAAGACAGGACCGGACAGGTCGGCTGAACAAATGTCTCCCCAGAAGCAACTCCACACCATTTACAACCACGCATCTCTCCTCCTGACCCAAAGCAGCACTCTCTGCCTTTCGATGTGCAACCTGGGCAGAGCTTTAAAGTGCCAACAAGTCCTCAGTGCCCCAGTTCATGGTGGAAAAAGGTGAGGTCCAAACTCAGACCACACGGCACTAACACTACCCTTGGAGACCTTTGCAGTGCTGCACAGCCCGGGACTAGACGGGCAAGGCCTACAAAGCGGGCAGCGTGCATGACTCACTTTTACAGCCACCAGATTGCCTGCCTGAGCTCTTCACACATAAAAGATGGTGAATCAGGATCTCGGAAATGACTGGAAATTCAGGGAAAGAACAAGTATGCATTCTACCTCTCATCAAAGTTCCCCAGGGAACCCGAGGGGAGAGGAGGACAAGTCTGCCTTGGGTGAAGTGTTCTAGCTACCTCATGGCAAATGCCAGACCATTGCACATGGAGCTGTCACAATTTAAAGGCCTGGGCACTGAGCACCAATGGCTGCTGCCACCAAAAAGACACGGGGTACCTCCTGCCCAAAGGACACCCCATCATCTAGGGAGTCACTTGCCAAAAAAGGAGGAAAAGTTTGACTCCCACAAACTCCCCAATTTACCTATCAGTAGACAGGAAATATTCTTAAAATAGAGGAACATATTAATACCACCAGCATTTGACCAAAAAACTCCAACAGGTCAAAAAGCCTACAGGACAGCAACCTACTTCCTCACCAAATAAATACAAGTAGAAAATCTAAGAGACTTCAGAGAGGTGGCAGCTAATCATAACACACGGACCTCACTGGATCCTGATGTGAGCTAATGCACCATGGCCAAGGCAGACGGAAAACAGCAATGACTGTATTTGGTCAGTTTTGGGGAACTGTTGTCAATTTTTAGGGGTTATGATGACTATGATATCACACATTATGCTGGGTGATTTTATTTTACAGCTACTACATACTCTTGAATTTGAATTACGTTTGACAAAATTAGGTGGCATCTTACATTTCGCCCTGCACCATTAAGGGAAATAAGTAAACCCCAGGACCCAGAGACAGAACAGGAGGGCAAGGCAGGAGCTGGCGTGGGCCCCTCACTCACGCGCACATGGTGCCACACGTCCACCTGGTAGAGCAGAAAGGACAGCAGCGAGCCGTTGGTCAGCTCGCCCGCCAGGATCTGCTGCCGCCCGCAGCTCAGGATCATCACCTTCACGCCCAGGGGCAGCAGCTGTGGGGGCAGGAAGTGGTGAGGCTGGGGGTCTTCCCATCCTTTCCCCTCCCTGCCTAAGACTGAGCGCACGGGACCCCAGAACTGGCAGTCGCTCCCCATCCTTGCCCTCCCCTGCCGGCCATCCGCCACCACGTGGCTCTCACCTTGTGGAAAAGATCATACAGGCCGTGTTCCAGGTCTCGACGCCACCACAGCTGCCGGCATCGCTCCAGGACCTCCCTATAGCGGTGGACTTCTTGTTCCTCCGCCCCAAAACTGCGCACGGTCTGCAGCCCGCCGACTGCCTCCCGCACCACCTGCCCTGCCTTCGCCACCGTGTCCTGGATCTCCAGCAGCAAGGCCTGCAAGAGTGGGGAGGCGGATGTCCACCACGGTGACGGTGACGGTGACGGTGACGCAGCAGAAGGGAGCCGGCCCTGGGACGCCCCCGCCCCACCTAGGAGCAGCACACAGATCTCTTATCCTGCTGTTCCTCCTTTGCTTACCAGAAGGAAGAAGAACAAAAGCAAGGAAGGAACATGTTACTAAGCTGTGAGGCAGTGGAGGCGATAAATGCTTTTTTTCTGTCCAACCTTCGTTTAAGGTAATGCTCCCGCCCCAGAGTCTCGGGAGGAGGACGGACAGCCAGCTGCAGCGAGATGTAACTCAAAACACATCAAAACCATCCTAGCAGAAAAGTTTTGTGAGACACTTGGCAGTGATTTCTTGGCTATGATGCCAAAAATACAGACAATAAAAAGCTAAATAAACCAGACTTCATCAAAGTTAAAAGTTTTGGGCTCTCGAAGCCCTCTATCAACAGTGGAGAGATTGCCACAAAATACAAAAAAGGAAATTGTTTTAATCATAAGGGATTAAAATTCTGGTAAGGGATTAGTATTCAAAATATATGGAGAACTCCTACAATTCAACATAAAGAAACCTAATTCTAAAGTGGGCCTGGAAAATCAGTCCACAATTGTCCAAATAAATAACAAGGTGTCCCATAAGGGGCTGTGGGGCAGCTACGTGGCAGAGCTCTTGCCCATGGGGCCCTGGGTTCAATCCCCAGTGCTGGAAAAAAGATATCCTGCATGACACCACTGATTATTGGGGAAATGCAATAAAAACCACAATAAACTTTTTGCAAGCATTAGAGGGACTCATATTTATGGAAAAACAACAGAAACAATGCGTGGCGACAGGCGAGTGAAAAAACTGCAGAGCCTGTGTGTTGCCGGTGGAGTCACTGAGGCACCTGCCACCGAGCAGTTCCTCCAAATGTTACAAACAGACCCACCCAGCATGATACTTCTCATGATACTGCACACCCAGGGGGACTGAAAGCCGGGCCCCAGACAGATATCTGTGTGTAGCCAGAGCTGGAAACCTCTCAAATGTCCATCAGCTACAAGAGCAAACTGCAAGCCGGGCATGGTGGCTCATGCCTGTAATCCCAGCACTTGGGAGGCTGAGGTGGGAGGATCGTTGCGAGTTCGAGACCAGCCTGGGTTACAAAGCGAGTTCAAGGCCAGCCTGAACTGCACAGCGAGACCCTGTCTCAAAAAAAAAAAAAAAAAAAAAAAAAAAAAAAAAAAAAAAGCAAACTGTAGTACACACACACATCATTCTGGATTAGAAGGAAATTCTGATGCATCCTATAACCCAGATGCAGGCAGTTCAGAGACCTTCGGCCAGTGGAATAAGCTGATCAGTAAGACAAAGGCCGTAAGCTCCCACGCAGGCGTGGAAACTGGAAAAATGGAATTCATAGAAGTAGACATAGGACAGAGAATGTGAGTGCGGTGGCAGTTACTGTGGCGTGGGGACAGTTTCATTTTAGGAAGAAAAGTTTCAAAGATAGACAGTAGTAGTCCATGTACAGAGATGTCATGGGCCGGAACCAGGAACCCGTCTTTAAGGTATCCTAGAGCTAGGAACATGCAGGTCTCCTTGCCCCTAAGTTTTATTCCTTTTCAGGGTCCCTGAGGTCCATGACTACCTGACGGCGAGTGTTGTACAATTTCTCAGCAGCGAGCATCACGGGCAGGTCGAACAGAGACAGGAGGGTGAGTCGTGGTGACACGCTAAACATGAAGACGTACAGCCCCAGCACTTTCACCAGGCTCCGCAGGATTATATTGGCATTTAGAGGAAGCCAGTTACTCATGAAGGAGGTGTCCGAGTTCAGCCGGGAATGCAGCTCGCCTGCAAGGACAGAGCAGATGAGGAACTGCGCACTGCACGGCAGAGGCCCACAGGGTCCTCCTGGCCCTGGCTCTAAATCTCCACCATCGCTTACAGAGCCGTGGGCGCTTTGTCTGTAAGAGTACAGAGTCCCAGGAGAGAACATGGAGAATGGACAGGTAAGGAGGGACAGGGATGGCCAGGGGAATCCCAGACCTGGACCCCAGACCCACCTGTCTTAACCTCCTGGAAGAAACCAAGGTCCTGACGCAGCAGGGAGGAGAACAGCTTCTGTCGGACCCGCTGGTGGATCCTGGACTTGACGAGCGTAAAGGAGCCTCCGCGGCAGCCTCCGGACAAGCAGCTGTGGGCCAGGAGGAGAGAGGAGGAGGAGGAAGCCGGCAGTGAGACACACAGGAGGAGGTCAGAGAAGCAGAGGAGACGCCAGAATTCAATAAAACAGCAAAGTGGAGAATGCAAACCATGAATAAAGGGAAGCGGGGGAGAGACAGGCAGACACAGCGAGAGAAGAAACAGTAGACGTGGTGATGAGACTCATGGAGCTCCTGTGACAGACACGGGGAGAGTAATCTGGCACCAAGGGGCTCACTGCCGGCCTGGCCTCCCCATGGGTTTTCCCTCTCGGGTCCCTCCTCTTGTCTTGGTCTCTTTTCCTCCCGGAAGCAAAGCCCTCCTGTGTAGTCACAGATATTTCACTATGGGAACCAGGAAAAACTCCCTGACCTCCCATTCTCCAGAACTTCAGAGACACAATGCTCCCTTCTTTCATCCCTGGACAATTCTTCCCAGACAAACCAATGTTTTATAAAACTTAAAGATAAAAATATACAAAGCATGAGCCATCCCTTTGCATAACATGAGATTCTAATGCAAATTCAGTCAGCATATTCAAAAGGTGTTTGTGATAATCACACATGAAATCATGAGAGTTCTGGATTCTGGCAATCACAGCAGAATGGAGGAGCCAAGCAGAGAAACGTTTTTAAAGTAGGGAACAGCAGGGCTGGTGTTTGAGTGTGGGGGAGATGGAGCCCCAAATACTGAGGTCTCAGGAATCAGAGCAGAGGAAGGCGCTCTCCACCTCAGGACGCCCAGGACGGGGTGAAATTGACTTGGGAGTCTGGGGTCCCAGCACATGAGGTGAGAGTGGGCTGTGTGACAGGAACACCATGGAGACAACTGGGATCACAAGATCAGCACTGGGTGTGCACACGCGGATCCAGGAATCACCCACAGAGCTGAGCTGAGCCCAACAGGTGGTTTGCTTAGTAAAAAGTTGCTGTCTGAGGAGTGAGTTTCAATGGAAAGAAGCAAGCATGGAAGGCAGGCACGAGAGCACCCAGATTTTCCTTTGGTTTTGTTTTCTGTTTGCAGTGCTGCTATTGAACGCGTGGCTTTCCCGCCGAGATATGTCCCCTGACCTTGTTATGTTTTGGGTTTTTTTGATTTCTGGGTTTTTTCCTTTTTAAACAGAGTCTGCCTAAGTCACTAAACTGCCCAGGCTGGGCTCTAACATCTGATCCTCCTGGCTCAGCCTCCTGAGTGCTGAGACAGATCACAGGCCCTGGTTCTCCAGGATATTGGAATCGAAGTAAGTCTGTTGAAGACTCGGTGTCCAGCAGAGAGCCCCCCTGAGGCCAGGAGCGAGGATCCCCTTCAACTCTACACCCCAGCTGCAGCATGTGCCCCATCCTGGTCCCAGTGCAGCCTGGCAGCAGGCCCCTGAGCACCGGGCGCAAATGGAGTTCAAGAGTGACTTCCAGAACAAGGGTCGTGGGTTGCAACCTCTGAGTAAGAGCTTTGGCAACTGGCAAGGTGGAAAGACTCAGGGAAAAGAGAGGACCGAGAGTTGCTGTAGGCCACAGGGTTGGGGGCCAGCAGCAAGATGTGGATTTTCATAGAGACAGAAATGACTAGAGGCGACTCACTGTGCATTTGACACACGATACACGCTACAAACTCTAAGAGGAGGCGTAAATGTGCACAAGGAAATGAACTGTCAGGGGAAACACAGCGAGCAATAAACACACACACTTCTGTTTCAGTGTCCAACAGCGGACCTAGGAAGCTGAGGGCTCGCTAGAGGCCTGGGGCTCGGGAAGGACCCCACCTGCCCGTCACCTACCTCCCGACAGAGAACAGGCACATGAGGACGATGGCGCTGACAAAGGCGTCGGGGTCAAAATCGCCGCCCAGGATGTCAATGACGCGGCCAAAATAGTGTGGGATCAACGTCTCCCCTGAAAGAGGCAGGAAGGTCAGCAGGAGCCGCACCTCCTCCTCCCCATCCTCTGCCAGGCCCCCTCCACACTCACCCCACACTGCTGCCGCCAGGAAGAAGAAGGCGCACAGGAGCCAGGGCAGGTCAGGCCTGGACAGCTGCAGCAGCCGCCACATCAAGGTTCTGTTTTTCTCCTGGCCTGGCTCCCTCTCCGGGGTGCCTGAGGGGCTCAGCACAGCCCACACAGCCCAGCCCAGCCCTGCAGCCGCGTAGCCCGCCAGCAGCCAGCTCCAAGAGGCCCAGGCCAGCCTGACAGGGGGGGCACTCAGGGTCCCTCCCACCAGGGCCCTCAGGGAGAGAAACAGGGGGGTGGCCAGGCAGAGCAGGGGCAGCGAGGCGCCCCCGAACCCCAGCAGCCCTCCCAGCCTCAGCAGCCCCCATAGCCCTCCAAGTCGCAGGGTCCCCTCTAGCCACAGTCCTGGAAGCCCCGGGGGGAGCAGCGCCCCCAGAGTCCCCCGCAGCAGCCAGAGCAAGGCCAAGTCCAGCAGCAGCAGCGAGGCCCAGGGCCTCAGGTTGGGAAGCCGCATGGCGCTCTGGATCTGGGGGGCAGAATATGAGAAATGAGGATGGAGCCCGGTCCCCACCCCCAGATCTCCGGGGAGCCGGGCACACCCAGCCCGCAGCTTCCACTGCCCGGGAGCAAAGGGCCGCGCAGTGCGGGGCGCGGGGAGGCTGCCTCCTGTGTGCGCTCGGAACTCACCCGCCCGGGACCACTGCGCAGGGCTCCCGGTCCAGGGCCGCACCGCGAGCCCCACTGGCTCCTCCTCGCGTCCCGCGTCCTCCGGGGAGATCGCCCCACGGGGCGGTCCTGGCCTCGCCCGTTTCGCTTTCGCTTCCCAGCCCACGCCGGAGCTGCGCGTGGCAGCCGGAAGGGGGCGCCCGAGACCTGCGGCTGGCAAACACTGAACCCCAAATCCGCCCGCGCGCCCTGGGGCCCCAAACAAGCTCCCGCTCGCCCTCCTGGCGGTCGGTTACTCGGTTACTCGGTGATAGGAGACTGCAGAGGATTTCAAGGACGGAGATGCCAGGTAACGGAACCTGGATTTTCTATTACTATCTGTTTTACCCACCTTCTTCCCTTAGGCAAGATTCAGGTTTAGGGTTTCCAGGTAAAGGTGCTGAGTGCTGGGTGAGAAACCCACAGGATCTGGAGGCCCCGAGCCTGGATCCACGTGTCCACCCCAATGGGGCCTCTGTGTGCGCTGGGCTCACCCTGGGAATCCCCTGGCACTTGTAGGAAATGCCCGGGACTGGTCTAATTTAACCCTGAAGGAACAGCTGACAGTTCAGATCGCCCTGGGCGACAGCCTGCCCTAGGAATTTGCAAAGTTATTTCAGAAATGACTTCCAGATAAAATTGCCTTTAAAACAAAACCTCCAGAGGGCTCATTGCTTGAATTTCACATGGCCCTTTCCAAATGTCACTGGTGTGACTCTCGAAGAGTCACTCCACGTTGAACAGTAGTAGGGGGACTGAGGTAGAGGGTTCGTGGAGGACTAAAATGTGTCCAGCTCCATCCTTTTGGGATGTTAAGAATCTCTCTCTAAGGAGCAAAGCTCTAGGCTCAGCTGCTTCCAACTCTCAGACATCACCGAGAGATGACGCAGTCCACATTCCTTCCTGTACCTGCTTCGTGATTCAGAGAATCTTATCATCTTTTTTCTAATGTAGATCTTTTATTTTTTCCTCTTATTCTCCTTGTCTGGGAGTCCTGACCCTGGGACTAACCTGACCCAGGATCTAACCCTGACCATCTTCACATTCCATATCCCATATATTCAAGGTGTGGTTTGGGGTAAACAGGACAGTGTTACGCAGTGAAATGGAAGCTGTTCCATCCACTCTACAAAGTCAAAGATAGCTGGTGGTGGTGGTGGTGCACTCCAACTCATGCTAACCATGAACAGTGGATCACATGGGAGTCTCCAGATTGAGTGAAATTACAGATACTGTCCAGAGACAAGTAGGATCAGTCCCCCTGAGGTTCTGGAGAGATGAGTGTGGAAGAAACATTTAGTAAGGCTAGTTGTTCTTTTATTTGGTTTGAAAAAGAATCTCACTATGTAGCCCAGGCTGGCCTGGAACTTCTGACCTTTGCTTCAGACTCCCAAGTGCTAAGGATCACAGGCCGGGGAGAGGCTGGGAGGGGCTCACTGGGCATATAGAAGCCTGAGTTATTTCTCTTGATTTCCTGCCCCTACTCCACAAACAGCCCTTACAGCCCCCAAACGCACTTAGCCACACCAGAAGCATTCATAACCGTTTTCCTTTATTCTTAGGGAGCACCCGAGGGCTCCTAGGAGACAAGCTCTCTGAAAGAAGAGCATGAAAATGGGTGAACGTGGCCCACCGACACCCGCCGCCAGGCCACCCTGTGTCTTGGCAGAGATGGAAAGTGGTCCAGGTCTCTGCGTCTGGAGGCCTTTTCTGCCACCAGAAGAGGCCTGCACAGCCAATGCCACTGTTACTGCTTGGCCTCCTGGTACTGGTGCAGCAGGTCACTGACATCTGTACTTTCCACTTTTACCCAGCCATCTTCCTTCATGTGGTACACTGCAGGCAAATGAGACAACAGCACCAAGGTCCCGTGACCCGGGTTCCACTGCAGGCAGCGACGGTGCACCCAGACACAGGCACACACTCCAAACCCTCACTGCTGGGACTTCTGCAATGTCTTCTGACCCTAAAGAACCTCCTCCCAGCCCCTCAGCCTCCCCTGTGCCTGCATCCCACATCTCCCTCTCCTCCTCCCAGGCACGATAGGGTGGTTGGCGTCTTACTGTTGACAACGCCTCCAGAATAGTTGTCCCTGTGAGTGGCCTGAACAATAGCCCTGCGGCCAAGGTCATAGGCCTCTTCAGGGCTGAGGTCTGGCCGATAGCCGCTGTCCAGGACCCCATAGGCATAGGTGTTCCCACTGCCAGAGGAGAACATGTGTCCCGGGAGCCGAGTCCCATCCTCATTCACGTAGTAGAGTCCTGGGCCCTGGGAGGCAAAGGAGGCTCCAGGTTAGATTTGGAAGGAGATTTTACTGGTGGCCTAAGAGGTTCAAGTGTGGATCACAAAAAGCGGACAAAAGAGTGAAAACTACCACAGACACATTGGAATTAGGACAGCATTTTGGGAAAAATCTAGAAATTTAAATATAAGAAGAGAAACCAAATGGATTCAGCTATCTAAACAAAACAGTCAGCTTGTGGACGGCATACAAGGGTCTGTAACTGGACTGAGAAATCACACACACACACACACACACACACTAGAAAAGGCGGAGGGAGAAGGGGCACACCCACCTTCTTGTCCCAGCCGATGATCATGCTGCCCATAGAGAGGCCCATGCCCCTGTACTGGGACATCATGTTGGCGAGCAGCTTGGAGGCAGCCGACACAGAGATCCGTTCCCCATTCCGCAAGTAGTACAGCCTGGGTGAGGAGGGGCAGAGGAAGACTTAGGGGCTGGAGATGGTCAGTTATCCCACGCCCAGGGACAGGACATGACGGGAGAGATAAGCATTGGAAGGCATTGTTTTATAGACTCTAAGGAGCAGGAAAAGATTTAGAATTTGAACTACCTAAAACACACAGAGAAAGCCTAGTAAATGGGATTATCCCACCAGCGCTGACCTGATGGGGTCCATGCTGAGGGACTGGTTTGAGGGCAGGAGCACAGACCAAGATTTGGGGCAGGGATCTATTACCCAAGGGCTGCTTTGTGAAATATTGTTAGCACTGAGCTGGACCCATAAGGCACAAAGGCGAGGTACGGAGACTTGGGAGACCCAAGAATCAAGCAGAAGGCTGAGAATAGGACCCGAGAGGCCTCACCCACCTACACTCCTTGGCCAGCAGACGCTCCCAGTACTGACAGTCTGCAGCACAGCCAGACATGGTGCCCAGCAGGTAAGGGTTAATCTCGATCACCTTGTTAATTCGTATGGTGCCTGGAAGAAGAGTTTTGAGATAAGAGCAACAGACCCACAGTTCTCCCCGTGTTCCCTAAATCTTAGGCTCTGGTGGGGACATTGATATCCTACTGGAAGGACAGCCCGGCGCCCCAGGGTCTGACCACCGGGTCCCACACACTCACTAATGTAGTTCCCCGCTGTGGCCCGAGAGTCCACTGCCACAATCACTCCATGCTGGAACTTGAAGGCCAGCGTGGTTGTGCCGTGCGCCATCTCTATCTGAACATTCCTCTCCTGGTCCCTACCCAGGGACTGTAGGAATTCCGTGGGCTGAGGAGAGTTGAAGAGGCAGGGGAAGAGCCATGAACACTTGTGTAGCGGGATCTCCGCAGGGAAGGGTTTAGGCAGGCGAGGAGATGGGCCACAGCTCTCTGACCGCTCATGCCCAGAACAGTTCCTAAGGACTTCTAGGAGGGACGGTGCTCTGAGGAGGAAGGAAGAGCACATGGCACCAGTGTCTAGAAAACAAACAACCCCACCAAAAGAAAAGTCTAACTGCTTTTAAGGGTTTGTTCATTGATAATCATCCAACACTCACCAGTTTGCTAATTCACCTACACTGATTTTACCGAAGGGACTGGAGATAGATACCGCGGGACCTGTTTGGGTCACAGCACTGAATTGCTGGGGGCAGGAGGAGGTGGGTCTCCCCAAACACCTCAGGGTCTTTACGATGACCCCAGGGAGTGGGGCTCTGATTTGTACGTGGTGGAGAAAGGGCTGTCTTGTATTAGTAACCCCACCTGCTTCCCTGAGATCACCTGGGCAGGTGACACATGGAAGCCCTCTCCTCCCCCCCCCCACCTCTAATCGCTTGTCTTCATCAGCACCATCCTGACCCTCCAAGGTCACAGGGGTCCCTGCACTGCGGACACCCCAGCCTCAGGAACGGCAGGCTCAAAGTGGACCTCTTTTCTCCAGCCTCCGACCCTCGTCCCCCTGCTCCCTCTGCCCTCACCTGCATGCCCCTGGGGACGGCGAGCTCCGGAGCGCGCTCGGAGAAGCTGTAGTGCCCCAGGTCCGAGCCCCGCGCGCTCCCCCCGGCCCAGGCCGGCAGCTGTCCCCGCGCGGCCCCGCACACGTCCAGCAGCGCCATGGTCTCGCAGCGCCACCCGCCTGCCGGTTGCTCTCGCAGGAGGAAGCGAAAGCGAAAGCTCCGGCACCCGAGGGGAGGGACCCAAAAATTTTTCCGCATCCCCCTGCCCTTCCCGAGAAGAGGCTGGAGGGTGTCCCAGCCTGCAGTGTCCTACGGGGAGGCCGCCCTGCTCTGCCCGCTCTGTGTCCTCGGGGACCAGGCCGCCTGGAGGACAGCGAGGGAGCCCCCGTCCGGGCCGCTTCGGGGACCCTCCAGACAGTGCTAGGAGCGGGCCCCAGAGCAGCCTCAGCCAGAAGGCGGGCAAGGGGCAGGGGCCAGGGACAGGGCCAATTTCACAGAGCAGTGGGCGCTGTGGACGGGGACAGTCTTGGCATCGGGACCCACTTATTTATTTAATTTATTTATTTACTGTCTTTTTGAGACAGGGTCTCACTATGCAGTTCAGGCTGGCCTTGAACTCAATTTGTAACCCAAGCCGATCTTGAACTCGCAGCCATCCTCCTGCCTTAACCTCCCAAATGCTGGAATGATAGGCCTGTGCCTCTGCGCTGGCTCGGAAGCCTTTTATAAAATCTGGGACAGATAAGAAGGATGGGACCACCCCAGCCCCACCCCGCCCCCCAAAACGCTTCTGGGATAATTGAAGAGCAGCACGCCCCAGCCTGGGAGGAGCGGGGCGCCAAGGAGAGGGCGCAGGCTCTGAATCCTTCCACTTGGCTTTTTTTTTTTTTTTTTTGTCTTTTTCGTTTTTATTTTTGCGGGGCCTCTCGCGGTGCAACGGTCTCCCCAAACCGCAGCCAACCACAAGAACCCGCCTTCCTGCCTGCCCCTTCTCGCCCGGCTCCCGCGAGCGCTGATGAATGACTCTAAACCCCGCCTCTGGCTCCCTGCAACCTGTAGTGTCCCCATCTGCCCAGCAACTGTTGACGTCACACAACCCTGGCCCTCCCTGAATGGCCGAAATGTGCAGATAGCCCCACCCGTTTCCCTGAGAGGACCGGACTGGGACACGCGGGAGCTGCGTGACAGGGATCCGAGCAACTTCTCAGTCCACGCATTTACTTTCTCCAGCTCCCTTCGCCGGTGGGCCACGGCAGGGACACCCAGCTGCAGGCGCCGGGGCTCTGTGGTCCGCCCTGAGCCTTAGAGCTGGCCCGGTAGGGTGGAGAAGGGCAGGTCTGGCCATAAGGCCTTGGCTGTGAAACACTGGGGGACTGGGAGCTGCCGGAAACAGGAGAAACCGCAGTGCAAAACAGCCATTTTATTATAAATATCAGGAACCCTGGCAGGACATTCACCAGCCAGCTCAGACCTTTGGTCACACTGAGGGCATCGGGTCTTCCCCTCTCTGTGCCCTGGATATTTCTTCTGCTTCTCAGAGTGCGTCTCAAACCAAAGCATCCACCCTGGCCACAGAACAGTTACACTGAAGCCTGAACCATCACAAGAAGCTGAGACAGGGCGTTAACACTTGGCAAACTTCAACCACACCAGCAGTTGGGTTCCAGCTCAGCTGACAGCTGGGCAGCAGGTAGCTTCCTGCTCCTACTCCTGCTCCAGGGCTGAGCTCAGCATCACAGAGAGCTGGAGACGTGGACGGAAGGGAGGAAGGTGGGGTGCAGATCCCAGAGGCCTCTCATTCTGGAGCGCGCACAGGGGCCTGCACCATGTCCCAGTAGCACCCTTTCTTCTCCATGAGCTGCTGGTGGGTCCCCTGCTCACAGATGGTGCCATCCTTCAGAAACAGGATGTGGTGAGCCTGCTCCACCAAGCTCAGCTGCTGGGTGATGAGGAGCACCGCGCGTGAGTGGCGCTCGGGGCCGTGGTAGAGGAGCTGCTGCAGCTGTGGAAAGACACACACGCCAGTCAGCACCCACCGGGCACAGCGGAGAGGCCCATTCCCTGTGCCCTGCTGCCGAGCTCTCTTGCCAAGGGGGATTTTTTTTTCTTTTTCTTTTTCTTTTTTTTCTTTTTTTCTTTTTATCGGTACCGGGGATCGAACTCACAACTGCCTGCTTGCAAGGCAGACACTTATGCCACTGAGCTAAATCCCCAGCCTCGCCAAGGAGGATTTTAAGAGAACGTAATTTCCTAGGAGTGACACCACCAACATTGAACTCTGCAGACCTGCAGTGGGGGTGAAGCTCTGCCACTCCACACTGGAGCAGATTTCAGTCTCCACGGTCATCCAAAGAGCAAGGGTGACAGGACCCACTTCACAGAGAGGGCGTGGAACACACATGGGAAGGGCCCCGGGGGCATGTGTATAGCACACGCATAGCCTTACTCCACATTAACAGCGTTAGAACAGCCCACTTTATTTTTGGCTTCGAAGGCTGAGAATCAATACTTAAGACTCTGTCACCCAGTTTGGGGTCTTTTGGGGAAATATTAATGGGCACTGAAAATTCCAAGGACCAGCTGGGATAATTATAATATTGATGTAACTACGCAGGATCAGGAAAAATAGATTCGGCAGGATCCAGACATTAAGAGGACGACCTCTTACTCACCCGTAACCGACTGCTCCCATCCAGGGCGCTGGTGGCATCATCCAGGATGAGGACCCGGGGTTTCCTGATCAATGCTCGGGCCAAAGCCACTGCCTGGCGCTGACCTCCTGACAGCTGGTTCCCACACTCACCTGCATCTGCAGAGACAAGAGCCCAGATGAGACCTGGAGAGCCACGCATGGGCTCTGGTGTGAACACACATGCACACATACAAGTGCACACACACACCAAGGCTGATGGATGCCACAGTGTCGAGGAGGTCATAGGAAGGAGGATGCAGAGCTCTGGGGATGTGGGTGCAGAAGCTTCCAGTGGTGCCCGTGGAATAGTAGAGGCACAGCTGTGGGGTTTCAGTAGAGCGCAGCTGCCTGGGCGCGGGGGTGAATACCTGTGTCGTAGCCCTGTGGGAGCTCAGAGATGAAACCGTGGGCGCCAGAACTCCGTGCTGCAGTTTCGACTTCTTCCAGCGTTGGCTCCTGGGTCAGGCCATAGGCGATGTTCTCCCGAAGGCTTCTTCCAAACAGCTGAGGCTCTTGCCCTACAGCAGCCACCTGCCATTAGGTACGAGGAGCAGAACAAGGGATGCAAGGTACAGTTACCTCAAAAATCCCCACGTGCTCCCCTGACCCTGCTCCACCTCCACCCCACGTCTCCCACATCCCCAGCCCTCCTTTCACAGCAGGACACTGTCCTGCCTGAAGGTCCCTTCCCCACTACCTTACCGCTCACCTGTCTGTGCAGATAGTGGTGCTCGTACTGGGGAAGGGGCTTCCCGTCCAGCAGCACCTGGCCCTCCGTGGGCTGGTACAGATTCTGCAGCAGCGCAGCCACCGTGCTCTTCCCAGAGCCATTGGGTCCCACCAGGGCTGTCACCTCTCCAGGTTGTACGGTGAATGTCAATGCCTGGATGCCAGAGAATCACAAAACAAGAGGCCACTGGAGGCCTCCACCCTCCACATTTTCCTGTTCTGTTGCACAGAATGGCGTCACTCCCCAGCACATCAAGGAGGGATGGAGAAACACAGCATCCCCCACCACACACAGACCCCTAGTCTGATGCCTCCTCACGAAGAAAGGTGAGAAGCAGGCAAGCAAGGGCAGAGTCAGGCACCGCTGTGCCACGTGCTTGGTGCGTTACCAACTCAAAGCTCAAAAAACTACATCCTTAAATCACAAAGATGCGAGAGACACTTGGGGACACAGATTTCTTTGTGGCAACCCCTTGGGATGAGACAGCTATCACATTCAACCCTCTATTCCTGTCGCTTAGAAACCCAAGCTTGAATTTGGATGACATTAATGAAACACATGAGGTTAATGAGTACCCAGACTTGGTGTCAGAGCAGAAGCAGGAAGCTTAGGGTGTCAGGGGTGGGGAGAACACAGGGATTGCTAAACTGTACCTGCAGCACCAAGACATCCGGATTGTTTGAGTAAGCAAAGGATACATCTTGGAACTGGACATGGCCCTCCAGGCTTAAGGGACTCAGGAAACCGCTGGGTGGGCACCGAGGAGTCCGATCCAGGTATTCAAATATTTCTGCGGAGGAGCCCACCGCCTTCTGCATCCGGGGATAGTAACTCAGCAGTACCTGGGGGAAGCAGCGAAGGGAGAGATTTAGCGGGCCAGTCAGATTATGTGAATGAGAAGGCACCGTCCAGCAGGAAGGTAACGCTGGCAAGGATAGGACGGGAAGAGAGAGCACCGCGGGGAGGGACCTCACCTCAACGGCTGAGGTGAACTGCTTCTGGTAGAGAACAAATGTGACCAGACTTCCACTGCTGATGGCCCCGCCTGTCACCAGCTTCCCACCAATGTACAGGATGCCCACATTCAGCAGCAAGCCCGAGACCTAGAAAGAGGCCAACAAAGAAAAAAAGGATCGTGGTTAAGAAAAAAAAAACAAGTCCAGAGGAGACTCAGAGTGATTAGCATTAAAGACATACAAAGTCCTGTTCTCCCAAATACCCGGAGCAGGCTCGCTCGGCAGCAGAAGGAAGAATGGGCCACGAGGAGACACAGGTCCTCTGTGTCCCCATCACCAACACCATTACCATCTTGCTGGGAGGGACACAGACTCTTCACAAACAGCTTTCGGGAACGTGTCAGCAGCTGATATTCATATTAAAAGGGCCCTTTAAAGGAGGTGCTGTAATTCTCCTCTTAAAACGAGGGAAAGTCTCAGCCAAGGGTCCTCCATGATACCGCTGCACACACAGAGCTAATAAAGGGCAGCACTGAGAATGGTTCTCATCCCCCGTCCCCGGTTCCCGTTATTCCCACAGCTCCTTGCACACCCACCCTGTATCAGCGTGAAGCAGGACTTCATGGGAGGGGCAAAGAATGGAGATGGGGCATCTCTAATCCACAAGGCTGGGTGGCCTTTATGTGCCACAGTGAAAGCCACCAACATCCCCACACAGAGGAAGGTGGCTAAAGACACTGAATAGAGTCCCTGAACCTCAGCCTTCTAGGACAGAGACACGAAACCAGCCACTCTGCACTGAGGAGCAGGACTGGGGAAGGGAATGGAGTTGCGGAATCCCAGGGACAAGGCCTTGGACATCCACATCTGGGCACTCACTCTAGTGGTCATGAAGTCAACAACATAGGCCATAGCTTGCTTCTGGTTAATCATCCTTATTTCTTCCAGCTTCTTTGTGAACTTCTGGTCCTCGCCCTCCTCGCTGGCAAAGCTCCGGACCGTAGGCATAGCTGACAGGGCCTCCATGGCCACCTGGTTGGACTCTGCCAGAAACTGGCGGTCCTGTACCTCCAGGGACTGTGGAGACAGGGACGTGAGCTGACAGCCACAGGGATACTAACAGCGGAGCCACATAGCTGGACATTCCAGGTGATAAAAGGTGGATAGGGCAGGACACTTCTGCCCCTGGACACGAAAGAGAAGCAAGGAGAAGGAGAAGGCTTAGGATGGCTATGGGCAGACGGCAGAAACCAGTGTGGAGATTAATGCTGAGCCATGCGGGGGCTCAGACTACACAGACAGGGCGCTCTGTGAAGACAGGGAACCGGGAAGGTCCAAGGAAGCCGAGCTGAAAGGAACCACGAATCCAGGCATTGGGGCTCCAGGACGCACCTTGTTCCACTTTCCCAGCTTCCTGGGCAAAAGGAACAGCAGAGGCAGGGCAGCCAGGTTGACCACGGTGAGAGTCAGTGACTTCCAGAGCATGAACACCAAGGGCCACAGCCCTCGCATCAGGTACCACATCAGGATGGACAGCTCGGAGCTCAGAGACTCACACACAGTGGCCGTGTCACTTGTCACCCGGGATGTGATGACACCTGGCAGGGTTGGGGGAAAGAAGTAGAAGGAATCAGATGGCTTTGGGGTGATTCGAGGAGCTGGCGAGCCATGATGCCAGGGTGGGGCCGTCAGCCTGGAGTTCTCAGGCACAGGGACACATAAGGCTGGGGGGTGGGGTGGTGTGGGGACCTCCATACAGGAAAAGAAGTGTCAGAGAGGAAAAGCCTCACCAAAATCCTCTGTCTTAAGCCTGAAGAAATTAACCTATGTGTAATTTCCATTTGTCGGAACTTCTTGTTTTCCTTTAAAAACCTGCATGTCCCCTGAGGTACGCTAGGTAGAGAGAATTCGAACCAGCAATCTTGGGCACGGGTCAGAATGGGGTGCTGGTCAGGGCTGTGAGGAGTCCAGAATGAACCCTGCATGGGGACCCAGGATGCCAGAGTGTAACCTAAAGTCTGTCTCCAGCCATGTGTGACCATGCAGATTTCAGCAGTTTAGGTCTCTGCTTAGTTTCCTTCTAAGGAAATGAGGCATTCGGACTTTGTGAACTCAAAACACCCAGTTTTAAAATTCTGTAGTTTCTAAGAAGACACAGGCCTTACCTTCAATGGGGAATCCTGGACAAAAAACAGTAGGCTACAGTACTGGAAAGAAGACAGTGTTTTTGCTCCTAAGGTATATTGAGATTAAGTCACAAGGCCTGTGTGTAGTGAATGTGGGCGGGACGGAGGGAGGGACTGAGGGGGGCTGTATGGAAGGAGCACACAGGGTGATAAAATGAAAGAGCTGCGCGGGAAACCTGCTTGGTTCTTCTGGAAGAACTCCGTCTCCTGGCGCAGCACGGCCTGAAACACCTCTGCATGTAACTGGCTGACTATGCAGCCCATGGTGCTCTGGTACATGGCATCACAGACGAGCTCCATCAGCCCACTGGAGAGAGACAGTCAGGATGGGGGGATTACGGTGCACTCAGGGGAGGGAGGAAAGTGCCAGGCACCCTCCCAGCAGGAGCGCACCTCCACCCTCAGCCCCCAAAGTGCAAGCCCCAGGGCTCCCGAGCTTGAGCCCAGACCTGGCTACGGTGATGACAGCCATGAAGGTGATACTCCAAGTGAAGGCAGAGGCTGTCGTGTCTTGTAGCATCGAGTCGGTGAGGTAGCCAGTGAAGAACGGAATGGCCATCTCCCCTGGGGAGATAGGACAGGCTGGTCGGACATGACCTAGCCTGAAATGGGCCCCACTGCCACCTCCATTACCCTGGGAGCCAGAGGCAAGAAACAAAGCAAGACTGCCAGGCCTGAGAAGCCCAGGGGACTCAGCCCTGCATGGGCCCTACCAGACTTCACAGGGGCTTAAGGAGAGACAGCAGGTGCAGTGTAACTCCTAGTGAGGGGATGCTCTTCCCCCCAGCCCAGGCAGCACAGGAGCCCAGGACTCCCCGACTCTGACCCGGAAATGGGCCCTCGGACCTGGGCTCCCTGGCTTTCTCCGGATCCCCACTTCCCAGGACCCACACCACTCTTCCTCTCTGATCTTGGCCCTGGGTTCCCGAACACCTGTGTCCTCCCCCTGCACCCGGCGTTTTGTTACCCAGACAGGAGAGGGTCAGCAAGGCCAGGATCAGCGGGAGGCGGCGACGCTCAGGGCCCAGGAGGCCTAGAAACCTGCGCAACTTGCTCCAGGTGCCGCCAGACCCACTGGGCACCCAGAGGCTGCCAAGCTTGTGCCACAGGGCAGCAGCCGGCAGGGCCGCAGCATAGCTGAGGACAAAGGCGTCGGGGCGGCTTCCCCAGTGCAGCGCTCGAGTGCCGTCGGCGTCCCCACCGGCTCCCCAGGACACTTGCTGTCGCAACGACGCCAGGGCAGGCAAGGCCAGCCCCAGCGCGACTGCCAAGGGCTCCAGGGCACCCAGCCATCCGCGGATGGGGGCGTCGACCGCTGCCCGCAGGACACCGCGGACTCCCAGCCCCAGCACAGCCCAGCGGCACAAGCCCAGCACCCAGACCCGGAGCAGCGGGGGTGCACCGGGCGGCAGCAGCGAGAGCGCAGCGGGCAGCGCGGGCCGGAGCAGTGCCCAGTCGGCCAGGAGCAGCAGCGCGGCGCCCAGCCAGGCCCAGCGAGCGGGGTGCATGGCGAGGGCTGCTGGGGCCCGGGACTGCGCGCCGGGGCTGGCGACGGACCGGGAGTGGCCCCGGGGCGGGGCCGCGGCAGAGGAGGAGCCGGGCGCAGCGGGCAGGCGGCCAGCACCCCCGGAAAGCCCCAGCCAGTCAGCCGCGCTGCCTAGAAGCGCTGCCCTTTACGGGAAAGGGAAATCGAAAGCGGCCGCGCTCCCGGGCCCCTCCCCGTCGCCAGAGCCCCGCCCGGGCCCGTCCCGGCGAGGGGCGCACGGAGACCTCCGCGGGCTGCGCCGTCTCCATCGGCGCCTTCCGGTGCCCGCGCGCCCGCGCCTCGCCCGCTCCGCTCTTCCCCGCTTTTCCCACGCCGCGTCCCAGGTCTCCGGGCAGCTCGGCTCTCGGGTCAGCGGGGGCGGGGCCACGGCGCCCCCTGGCGGGCGCGGGGACACCACAGCTGCAGGTGCTGCGCGCACTGACCGAGCCCCAGTCGGGAGCGAGATGCTGCAGGCCGGAGAGCTTGCCCGGGACCTGCCCGGCGCCGGCCAAGTCCACACGGGGGTACGGTGCGGGTCTGGGGTCTGCAGCGGAGTGAAGGCGGAGGGAGGGGTGGCCGGGACCCCCACGAGATGATGGGGATAGGAAAATGCGGAGACAATGGAAGCGTGGGGTCCCCAGTTCCGGGAAGCTGGAGGCTGAGGGGTCCGTGTGGGAAATAGGCGCATGGGACGGGAAGCCAGTCCGGGCTTCCAGATGCGAGCGCCAAGAGAAGCAGCCTGGGCGCTTTCGCTTTCGCTCTAATGGGGCAGGGGGGCTGTCAGCCAGAAGAGGTGGGGGACCCCGGGGACAAGGACAGAGCCCCGGGGGACCGGGCAGCCCTGGGAGAGGGTTATGGGACCGACTGCCCAACATGCGACCCTCCTGGACTCGCCCTGCGGAGCTCCCGCCCTCGCTGACAGTGGGTTGGGGCGCATCCTCGACGCCATTCCAGGGGGAACCCGGAGGTTCCTGCTGGGCCCAGGTGTGCCCTTCTTTCCCGGCCTCTCCCAGGGGCAGATGGAGCCTCTCCCAGGGGCAGCCCCGGCTGCCTCTGTAAATTTTGAGCGTTCCCTTCTGCACTCTGGACTGGATCCTGGGGCGGACAGTGTGCCATGGGGAGGGGCTGGCGAAGAAAACCTTCCCTCCCTGCCCGGTGGAAAGCAGGCAGAGGGGTTAGACCTGAGTTTTAGTCTCAGCTCTGCTACTAATTCTGTGCCCCGCAGAATAAGTCATTTCCTGGCTGTGCCTCGGCAAAGGACCGTAGGAACTTTAAGGCCTTCCGCTCCACAGGAGTGGAAGGGGTGCAGCCTTATTCTCCCACCACTCTTCCTTAAATCCTTTCCTGGCCTGAAAAAGTCAGCTCGGACTCCACAGTCAAACCTTCACATGCCAGAGCGTTCTTCCCCTGGCTGCAGGCCTCTGTTAACCTCGCAAGAATTCCTTCAGAGAGAGGTGCATTTCAATAGTCCTGTGTTGCTTGCTGCCCTCCTGCTGCTCTGACCCCTGTCCATGCTCAGCACTGATCTCCCTGATGAGTTCCATTGCTCTGCAAAATCTGGGAGCTCCCTTCTGATTCAATTGGGGCTCAGGTGGAGGATTCCAGGCCTAGAAGAGAGCTGATCTTGTTTCCGTGTCCTTGGGAAGTTGTGTGGCATCAGGGCTGCGCTTCCTGGGCACACACAGCCACCGTAGTAGTGGAGACCATATGTGAACCCTCTTTAGAGTGCAAAGCTGGAGTTTAGGAATATTCTTTCTGTGTCACATCACAGCGGGCTGGGACATTCCCCTGCAGCTGTATCATACAATAAAGGGAAAAGATAGAGGGGGGAAAAAACTGTACCGGAGTTAGCTCCAGCCTGCATGACTATGTCCTGGAGCTGGTCACCCAAGTGTGGGCGCTCTGAGAATGTTTCCTGTTCTGTGACATGAAGGCTCAAGGCCCTTCTTGAGCAGACAGGTCATACTCTGTCTCTGCAGACCACCATCATGGCGGTGGAGTTTGACGGAGGCGTCGTGCTGGGTTCTGACTCCCGGGTATCTGCGGGGTGAGTACCAGCAAAGATGGGTGCCCCTGGGGGATCATGCTGATGGCCCCCAGCACAAACTTTTCTTATGAAAATTATGAAATATTGGTTACACTGGACCTTTCAGGACGTGCAGTTGACCCTTCAGAGGAGCAAGTGTAATATGATTTTGGGAGACACTTGGTGTCTGCATTCATGGAGAAGGACCTGGGTCTGGGGGCTGGTGTAACCCGTCCCCGTTGTGAGCGGGGCTGGGTGCAAGGAGCAGGTTCTGGAAGTGGCACTGGAGGTGGATTTTTGCTTCCACCTGTTTAGAGATTCTTTTTTAAAAAAGTTTCCATCAAGCAGATATCTTGCTTCTCACTTACCACATTTTGAACCAGCTTTGTGTCTTCTTGCTCTCTAGCCAGGTTCCTCACATATAAAAGAGTGTGTGGGATTAGGTCAGTGTTACACTATGTTCCATAGACTATAACATAATTCAGGATGACCAATGGCAATGAAAGATTGATTGATTAAGAAGCACATTTCTCTTAACTCCATGCTTTTGGTTTTGTTTGAAAATCTAAGCCTGAAAAGGTCTGGGTCTGAAAGTCTAACTTGCATTAATGGAGTGATTAGTTTATCCGAGACGTTTGCTTTCCACCTTCCTCCAAGCATTAAATTTCCTGCTATTCTCTTGTTCAATAAACTTGGGCAGCTTGGTGTGATTAACCTCAAGCATGCCCACCATTCCATGTCCATGACTGTCGGCTCCTTCCCACAGGCAGGCCGTGGTGAACCGAGTGTTTGACAAGCTGTCTCCGCTACACAAGCACATCTACTGCGCCCTCTCTGGGTCAGCCGCTGACGCCCAGGCCATGGTTGACTTGGCTGCCTACCAGCTGGAGCTGCATGGGTACGAAGCTTGGGGTCCTGACTCCAGCTCCCCAGCCACAGAGCCCTGCAGTGTTTCATCCCAGGGGCACTGTTTGGGCTTCTGCATTCATTAGCCTTGAACTCGAACTTGGATCTCAGTAAGCTGCTTTCTGCATTGCAAAGTACAATAACTGTACCTACCCTCCCTTGCCAGGTGGCTGTCTTGAAAGTCCAATGATACATTCAGAAATTGTAAATCACTACCCTAATATAAATAATCAGGGAGAAAGTGATGGTGTGGCCACCGTACTATCAGGCAGTTGTCACATGCAGTGCTAAGGTCGCTTATCTGCCTCACCCACCAGGTCAGGGCAGAGAAGTAGGTCCTTGCAGCCAGGAGAGGGCTGTGTCGTTAGGAGGTGGGTGTGGGGGGCAGAGAGAAATAAGCCCAACGAGTGAAGCTTCTTACTGGTTGGGAGGGGTGGACTGTACTTCCCCTGTGCCTGTGGGAGGGACCCGGAAGTGGGAATTACTGCAGCTGCAGGTTCAAGTGCCACGTGGCAGGCAGGAGGATAAGAAAATTCTGTGGACCATTACTCCTAACATGTCCTCCAGGATGGAGCTGGAAGAGTCACCCCTTGTTCTGGCTGCAGCCAACGTGGTGAAGAACGTTTCCTACAAATACCGGGAGGAGTTGTCAGCCCATCTCATTGTAGCTGGCTGGGACCAACGTGCAGGGGGCCAGGTGAGTCCCTCTCAGGCAGCCCCTCCTTGGGGTTTCCCCGCTTCCCTCTGCAGGGGTAGAGGCCATGTGTCATGCTAGCAATGAGTTGCTCCAAAAGCATGCCACAGTCTCCTCTGTTAAGGAGATAAGAGAGTAGGACTTCGCTGCCTGGGGGGCAGACACCGCCAGCTTAACTGAGGGAAAGAGCAGCTGGGTGGTTCTCCAGACTGACAAAAGATGCCTCCCCAAGGTCTACGGGACCATAGGAGGGATGCTGACCCGACAGCCCTTCATCATCGGGGGCTCCGGCAGCACCTACATCCACGGTTACGTGGACGCGGCGTACAAACCAGGCATGTCCCCCGAGGAGTGCAGGCGCTTCACCACGGATGGTAACTAACCCCAGGCATCTCCTCGGAGGGTCTTTCCATGTGGGAAGGAAATGGACTAGGAGAAACAGGAGGAGAGCTATGTGGGTCACCATTTCACTTAGTGTCCAAACTGGGACACCTTTGTGAGTGACAGGGGGACAGGATAAGTGCTAGACTAGCAGGGACTCTGGGACCACGGGGATGAATCAGGACTGTCTGAGTAAGCCCGTGGTCCCCATAAGAACCGTGGTGTGCTGGGCTTCCTTGAGTCAGCTCATGAGAGAGGCCTGTTAAAAATCAAGCACTGGGATCTGCTTACTCCACTGTCAGTGACTTGAAATCCACCACAGCAGTGCTCATACCACAGACACAAGCAGACGCCACGTACGGAGGCTTTGCTTTTTGAGCACACCATTAAGTTTGCCTCTCTAGAAGATGGGCTTCAGGGGGAGAGTGTTAGTCCGCATGAGGACAGGAAGGGAAGGTAACAAGCTTTGAAGCTAAGCCATTCTCTCCTCTTCTCTACAACTTGGAACACCCTGCAGCTATTGCTCTGGCCATGAACCGGGATTGCTCCAGCGGGGGTGTCATCTATCTGGTCACTATTACGGCTGCTGGTGTGGACCATCGAGTAATCTTGGGGAACGAGCTGCCCAAATTCTATGACGAGTGACTCTTTCTCCACCTTTCCTTCCTGTTTGTAATAAACTCGCTGGGACAAGAAGTCGGTATGGTCGATGGGAAGGGTGTCAGGGAAGTGAGGCTCAGGGGAGGGGAATTCTTCCCTCCCAGAGGTCAGCGGGCATATTTTCATTTTTTGCCCCAGGTCTGAAACATCTTTCCCAGAGAAAGGAGAGAGGGCAGCACTAGGATTAGAAACAGCCCTGTGCGTGATAGGTCACCCAGTACTGAGTGACTTTTAAATGTTGTGAGCCATATGAATTCTCAGGGATTCTATGTAGCTTAGCAGGAGAGTCCATGCCCTTGATTCAACCCTAGCACTGAAAAACTAACAAAAACTCATCCTGAGGCTCAAGGACGAGGGTGTAGGAAAGCAGCCCTGCGCATTTGCTGTTTGGCAGGAAGTTGTTGCAGAAGCCAAGGAACTGTGTCAAAAAAAGCTGTTCCGGGCCTATGCCACGTACTTCCTGTGAGACCCAGCTGTGTCTCTGTCAAAGCGTTGAGAGATTTCCTAGATAGCTTACAGCTCTGGGAGTCAGTGCCTTTGCTAATAAGCGAACTCTCAGCAAGTGAACTCTTGCTAATAAGTGAACCATTCAAGAGAGATGTGCGTAGGATCTCAGGCCAAATCTACAAAGTTCCCGAGAACTTTGTAGTTCCCTATGCCCTTGGGAGTGCCAGAGAAAAATCTACGCACAAAAGTCTCAAGATATTTTTCTAGCCTTGCTATTTATTTTGAATTTTAAAATAATAGCTTAAAAGCCAATCTCTCCTGCTGATCATGGGTAGAAACCTGAATATTCAGAGGACTCTGGAAGTAAACAAGAGCAGATGGTCAAAACCGAAAGACACCAGTCCCCAGGTGTGGCGTCCCACAGCTCTGTCCTAAGGTCAGCCCCAGGTGCAGAGCGGCCCTGCAACTCAGTGCAGGCCCTAAATTCACAAAGCCAGCACTCAGGGGAGAAGCAGACAAAAATGGGTGTCCAGGGGCAAGAGGATGTAAGGGAATCTCCGAAACGAGAGCCCAGGGACTCCCTGATTCTAGGAGCACCTCACAAAGACTCTGTCACCCTAGAACTGTACACATGTGACACACATCTGTGAGACCCACCCTAAGTAGCACAGAAAAGACTTGGAGAACTGAAACCGAGATTTAACACTGTTTAAAGCTATGAAAGTTGGAAAGCTTCAGTTTTTTTAATTGGCCAATTTGTTCTCTATCACATTGCTATGTTTGTCTTTGTAATTTTTCCCATTATTTTGTTCAGTTGCTCTTTTCCTCCAACTTTTTAAAGGGTAATTTTAGGTCAGTTACCTTTGAAGTATTTGAAATGTATTTGAAACCATAAAATTCTTTTAAAGTACCACCTTATCTGTACCCACAAAATTTAGTATGACATAAGAAAGTACGTGAATCCAAATACTAAAACTAATACAGAATGCAAGTGTCCTAAAAGAAATGATGTGCTGGCTTATAAGATCAGATCAGAAATATGCAGGAATTAGGCAAGGCCGCCGAGCCACACTCAGGACTGACCGTGGGAGTCAGCAAGGCCACGAGTCAGTACTTGTGTTTTCCCTGGTCAGGCCACCTGACAGCTGCCAATGAGAAAACCCAGGCAGCAGCCACAAAATAGTGAAAGTTAAGAAGGGAATAAAATGAGGTGCAAAAAACCATCCAAAACTATGACCCCCAAAACATACACATACACACATATGCACATAAAAATACATATAATGGAGTTTTCTTTTTTTTTTTTTGAAATGGTCTCATTATGCAGTTTGGGCTGGCCTTGAGCTCACTGTGTAGCCCAGGTTGGTCTCAGACTCTCAATGATCTTCTGTCCTCAGCCTCCCAAGTGCTGGGATTGCAGGTGTGCACCACCATGCCTAGCATGTAACAGATTCTTAAGTCACACAGAGCATTTACTGCTTTATTGCCTGAAGCAAACTCTACTAAATGTCAAAGTATCAATATTTTGGAAACTACAGAATCTGCCAAAAAAAAAAAAGTATGCACACTTTAGGAAAAGAAAAACTTGTACAAATTGTTTCTTTTTTTTTTTTTTACTTTAAAGAGAATAAAATCAAACTAAATGAAACAGAATGAAGCCAATCAAAACAAAACAAAGTGATACAAAGTCTTCAAACTAAGATAATAGGAAGTCAACAATATACCATGAAATCTAGCAAAACAAAACAAAAAAACCTAATGAAAACAATACAAGACTTCAAAACAAGATAGTAGGAAGTTAACAGTGGCTACCACCTTCCCTTTTTAGACATCTCCTCCCCTTTTGCTTTCATAGTATCTATTACACATTGGGATCCACTAACTCCTTCACTTATTTATACTAGAAAGACCTCATGATGTTCACCCATGTGAGTCCAAACCTTGCACCCATGAGCATGATCTCAAATTGCATCCATTAATCTGTAAGTTATCCTTTATAGCTAAGTAGCTTTCCATTGTATAAAAATACCTTGTCTTAGAGCTGGGATTTAGCTCAGTGGCATAAGCGTCTGCCTTGCAAGCATGTGGTCGTGAGTTCAATCCCCGGTACCAATAATTTTAAAAAAAAAATACCTTGTCTTTCTCATCCGTTCTGCAAGCTACCCCTGCTTTGTTTCTGAGTCCCCATCACATGGAGCATTGTCTTCTCTCCTCTGACCTTTAGTCCATGAATTTTCTTTTGAGACAAATGTATTTCTTGTATGTATTTCATGTTGATGGATCCTGCCTCCCAACCCACTCTGCCCATGTTTCATTTTATTGGTGAATGGAGGCCACCTACATTAATGGTCATGACCAACATGCTCTGGTTCGTCTCTGCCATGCTATCCTCCTGCCACTGGGCCCCACTTTTCCCCTCTGTTCAGTTGCCTGCCCTGCTCAGTAATCCCCCTCTACTGCTGTTCCTAGAATCACGGTCATCTTTCTCTCTCTCTAGAACATCCTTTAACACTCTTTGTAGGGTTGGTTTGGTGATCATGAATTCCTTCAGTTGTTCTTTATCATGAAAGTATCTTATTTCTCCATTAATTTCTTTTTTCTCCATTAATTTTGAAAGATAGTTTTGCAGCATACATCAGTGTGGATTGGAAGTTGTTTTCTTTCAGGACCTGAAAAACTTCACTCCAAGCTCTTCTTGACTTGATGGTTTGTGTTGAGAAGTCTGTCATGATTCTGATGGGCTTTCCTTTATAGGTGATCTGTTGCTTTTCTCTGACAGCTTTTAATATTCTGTTCTTGTGCTGAATTTCTGGGATCTTAATTATTAAACGTCCATATGCCTCACTTATCTGTAAGTTGGGTCCTTTTCCCATGCTTGGGAAGTTTTCTGCTGTTACTTCTGTAAACAGTCTTTTTATGTCATTTGTGTTGACCCTGCTTCTTTGCTGACATCTATCAGTCTTACATTATATTCCGTTGTGTCATCTTGCAGCCATTGAATTATTTCCTGGTTCCTTGTTATTTTTAAGAAATCTTCCCTTTCACAATCGCTAGCTGCAATGCTGTCTTCAAAGTCTGAAAGTCTATCTTTAGTTTCCTTCAAGCAGTTTTGCCAGCTCTCAATGGAGTTTTTAATTTCCTGGATCGCTTTGAGTCTGTTTCATGCATTGTAATTCTTTTCAATATTGTTCATTGAAGGTTTGCTTCATTTTTCATCTATGTCTTCTTTAGATATGCTTAAAAATTCTTTCATTATGTTTTTGCTTTGTTTTGTTTTTTACTAGGGATCGAACTCACAACCTTGTGCCTTCCAGGCAGGCGCTTATGCTGCTAAGCTAAACCCTCAGCTTTATTTCTTCTTTTATCTGAGATATTATTTCTGATCTGATTACTTTTACGGCCTCATGAAGTTTCTTCAGTTGCTATCCTTTCAGAAATTTCAAGTGTGCAGCTTCCACGGCTGTGGAAGTCTTCCATGGCTGTGTCTCCTAGACTTGTTCTGTGTGGGCTGGAGGTCTGAGATTGCCTTTTGCTCTTTCATCTTGACATTTTCCTGGGTTCCTCTGGACAAGTCGGTTGTGGAGTCCCAGGTACTTCCCTCATTGGCAGCTCATCTGTGGTGGAGGGGAACGGGCTAGGCACTCGCTCCTGACCTAAGTTCCTGAGGAGACAGTGGGGTGCAGGGTGGGCTTCTCCAGACACATGAAGCTACACTCCTGATGGCAGTAGGCATGCGGGGGCATTGCTATCTGGTTTACCCAGCCCACTGGATACTGGCCCCCACTGGCAATGGTGGTCAGTGGGCCCACCGCACAAATATTTTAACCCTAAATTTACTAAGACATCACAAGGTTAATAGAAGTTACCTTTGTCCTCTACAATTACAAGAGGTGCTCAAAGTGGTGGATGAAATTCCAGACACTTATTAGTACAGCAAACTGCTGTTTTGGTAACCTTGGTCGCTGAGATTGCTGCACATGCATGGTCAGTTTCTTCTCTAAGGGCCAGCAATGCAGTGGGATTTCTGTGATATACAGCATCCTTGAGGGTCCCCCTACGGGAGTAACAGCATGTGCTGAAAAAACATCATATTACTTTTCTTTTCCTGAAATGTGTATACATTCTTTGGCAGATTCTGCATTTATATTCTGCAGCTACACCATAATAAAATTAGAGTTTGGTAATGAAATGATATCTAAAACTCTCATGACTTATAAATTAACAAGATATTGATGTAACTTTAAAAGAGAACCATAAAAGAAATTAACTCATTTGGTGGCAGGTGATAAAAATGTTGTGTGTCAAATTTTGTTGAATACAAGTAAAGCAGGTAGTTTGAAAGAATTGTATGGCCTCAAATACATTTGCTAGAATAAGAAAGTTAAAAATAAATTACCTAAAATTATCCTCAAAAACTTTGGAGAAAAAGAGTCATTGCAGAAATTTAGAGAAATTATAGATATAAAAGTAGTGACAAATAAGAGAACAAAAACTAGACAGAGAAGATTCAAAAGCTACTTCCTAAAAATTTCTTATGACATGCAAACTTACAATATTGATCACGAATAAAAGGAAAATTGAAAAAGCAA